ATTAATAAGCATAAACGGTGGATTTTTTTCTCCAGATTTCTGTAATATGCAGCCAGCATTAGTTATACTAGTCTTCTTTAGGAGACAAAATAGCATCCATTTGATGAATGAATGACGGCTTAGCGTAACTACCTTTTTGTTTTTTTGCTGGTTTCCTCGGCTGAAATTTAACTTCACTCAAAAGTTAAACTAATTCTATTAAGATGTTAAATTTCACGTTAGAAAGTCTCGCACACATTCTTTGTTGTGGATTTCCTGTGTTTACTCTCTCAAACATTAAAATTACGAAGTGCAAAACAAAGCCAGCATTTTGATTTTGAGATAAGAGTTTTGTTTTTGAGCTCAAAAACAGCAACAACACGGGAAAAAATTCGTAAAACATTTTACATTATTTTATTTACTGTCTTGTGTTTTCTTATACTTAAAAGAACAAGATTATTCGTACAGTTGCGTTTCCTCTACAGCAACACGTTTTTAGAAGAAACGAACCTTTTTTTATTTGCTTCGTATCGACTAACGAATTTAAATTAATTATGATCAGTTATTCTCAATTAATATTCTTACAGAAGAATACTGCTGTCTAGCTGGAAAATATTTTGCAGTTTGATAGGCTTTTGATAATATATTATTTGAGTCTGAATTTTTTTTTCAACAGAAAAATCATCTAGTATTAAATGAATTTCTATAATTAACTTAAAAGGTCAAATTTAACTTCTTATGCTTCGTGATAGTAAAACATAGTTTTGTAGGCAAAGTAAAGCGCGATTATGAAGAATTTAGAAATCGTCACAAAAGTACAGAAATAGAGCACTCATCCACAGCTAAGAAGAACAAGTTTTCACTTATGTTTGAAAAAATAGTTTACATTCTTTTTCCTATATGTATACCCATGTATAAACTATCCTCTTAACTTCATGTTTGAAGATTTATTATATTCTAGGTAACATATTCGCCAAACCAGTTTCATAGAATCGAAATTTCATCTTTCAATGCCACCAGGAGAAGAAGAATATTTTAAATAAATAAATATATATATATATATATAATTCTCGGTTCCATAAATCTTACCCTTTTACTTCAAAACAATATTCCAAGCCGCTCATTTTACAGCTTACGAAAAAAACGTATGAAAACAATTTCGAAGACTAGAGTAATAGTTTTGTTAGAGACTCAAATAACCAATAACCTTTACGCAATCTGAAAACTGCCTTTCTCAGAAATGCATGAAACGAGCTTTTCCTCTGACAACGAATTGCAACATGCTCAAAATGTATGGAGATTTTCATCGCGACTCGATAACAGCTTCGAGGAAGATTGCTGCAATATTATGAATAACGAGTCTGTTTCCTTAAAACAAACTAGGAAAATCTTTCACTCCTTCCGCTTCTCCCCTTTCAGTTACAGAAGGGCAAACTAATTTCTCCGATGCGTATCCTAGGAAAAACATTATTTATAAAATTTTTAAAATAATAATAAGCGTTTTCTTTATTAGAACAGCATTAAGTTTTTGGTAATATTATATCAGCGTTTGTATAGTAAATATATTTAAACTTTTAAAACAAGTAAAATATGTTTAAACTCTTAAAAGCTGAAAGTGGTATTTTTACAGACCTTTTTTTGCTGTCAGTTTTAACGCCAGCATATGGGGTTAAAAAATATAATAGTATTGAACCATACAATTTGCTTTGCATTGCTATTCGTAAAATAATAAAATTTCAATTTATGTAAAGCTTTTTCTGTCATGTGGCTAAAAAGACATATTCATTTATATGCATGAATTTAACTAGCCTTCAAGTTGTAAATGCTCTGTCTGAATTAGTTTCGTTAACATGCAAATCTCCATAATTTTGTTAATGTTTAGTAAATTTCAAAATGATATTTGTGCAAAGCATACATTTGAAAAGACAGTATATTTTAAATTATTTTTATTGTGCAAACAAATAAGTACTATATAGCTACTTCAGCTAAATTTTCAATGCGCATACCAAAGTTGAATGTGAAATGTTAACAAGAGCATGTAAAGACATTAGGTTATTTAGAAGCCGGAGTCGTGAAAAAATGAGCAATGCCATCGCCAAGAATCGAACCTGGACCTCGACGCGCGAGCGTGCTAAGCGTTACAACACGAAAGTATCAGAGAGGAGAGAGAAAATACCTTATAAACATTTTGGGTCGGGCTGCGCCCACTTCTGGTACCTTATAAGCATATAAATTTACCTAAATTTTACACTTATGGTAAAATCTCTAAAATGTGCAGGATTAGTAGAATTTCGAACATTAATTAAGGCTTATGTCCAGAAATAAAATTTGTTATTTTTCAGTAATATATTCGAAGTAAATTACATGGCACAAATACTTTTCATTGGATAAAATATAGATACGTAAGTGGACTAAAATAGCCTCGAAATGATACTTCATCAAACTGAAAAAAAATCCTCATAAAATTCTTTTCTGATTGTAAAAAAGGAAAGTAAAATAAAACACAAAAGGATTTTATTTTGCAGATTTACACAGGAAATTATTTTGGCAATTCTTTTAATTCTGCTTAAATAAAAAGGACTTGACAACTTTTACTGTGGTGAGTAATTGTAATTTGGCTACCCTTGTGCTTTTCGCCATATTCAAGTAACCTAACATAATCTGACTACTATTTCAAACAACATAATAACTAATTCTATAGAAATTAAAATAAAAATTTAAAAAAGAATCGGTGAAATAGGCTGGAGCACTTAGGCCTTCCCATTCTAAATAGTGATGAATGGTTATGACAGGTTCTTTTTGCCTCTTCAGTGATTCTACTTTAATTCAGAAGCACTGTAAAAACTTGTGCTTCTACCAGGAGTCAGCTTCTGGAGAATGACGTGAAAGTTTGCTTATAAGAAAACAGAAATAAGTAAAAAGATGTTTCTTTATGCATTGAGATTCCAATTTAATAGTTACTTAATTTTTACATAGTATTACAGTGTGCATATATGAAAGAAAATGAAGAAAATACTGGTAATGTTTTGCAGCTAAAGTGAACCTTCATTTCATTTGTCGCAAGTATTTTTAGTCTTCTCTTTCCTTCTTGCATCCCGTTTGGAAATTCAAAAATTTTGCATCTAAAGCTGATGCAAACATTATGTAAAAGGCACTTTTTAGCATAAGCGTCCCAAACTTCTGATCTGCTGTTTCAAGGCCCTCTTTCAACAGATATAATAATTAGCAGCCGGTTCAAAACTAAAACCGAGCTTCATTCATCACCTCTTTTGACTGCATTATAAACCAACAAAATCCAACCCATGTTCTCTAATACAAATCTTTTAACTAATAACAGAAATAATAATAACTACTAAATCAATTTAGTACTGACTAAACAATATTATTCATTCATGTTTAATTACGAAATTTAGTATGGCAGTACCACATGCAAAATAAAAACAACGCCAATTTGTAAAAATTATGCTGGAATTCAAACGCATATAAGGACGCATATAAAGACAGAGGATTGAATTAGATTAAGTATAAGAGATAGGTCTGAATTAGATAAAGCATAGGAAATGCCTTAAATTCGGTTAACGCCCGGCCTTCTTAGTATTTGAAGCCACTTCTCAGGCCAAAAGCTTCTCAGTTTTTGAATGAAATCGTAAATCCATCATCATAAATTGCAATAAGTCCCGAATAAGACGAGATCTGATATTTTGTTGGATTAATGAATCGCAAAATAATAGCAGAAAATTCTGCTATCATTGCAGTATTTTTTTTAGCAGTTAATAAAACAAATGATGATACTAAACATTAAGTTTACACCTCTTTTCTCCTTAAAAAGAGTTTTGATAAATGGGAAAGTGCTAGCAGCTGAGCAGAAAGGACTGTTAAATCAAGTATTTTGATAAAGTATTAATTCTTCAAACAGGTACTAAAGCTTTCTCTCTTCGTAAAAACGAATTTTATATACTGCATGAGCTAAACCTGTCTGGTCAGGCTTGGGCTGCAAGATGGATAAACGAAAATAGAGATGCAATTCTATTTGACCACGAAGTATTCAAAACACTTACCTTTCTTTTGTCCTTATTAATTGTCTTTGTTAATCACCTTATTTAATTTTAATTATTCTTCAATTTTTTATTTAGTACCATTTTATTGGTTTATTTTTTATTTACCGCTCCTAGCACAGGGCACTTCTGTTTTAGAAATTGAGCTTTTTTTTTGGGAGGGGGGGGTTATACCATTAATACCTACCTGGAGATTTAGCTCTTATACGTATGGTTTTTTATATGAACTTAACAAAACCAAAGACAAGAAAATTATAAGAAAGTTTAACACTTTTATGAAAATAACCGGAACGGAAGATACAGAAGATCATATTTCTAAATCACGCTCTTCCGTTTTTACTAGAATGATCTGTAATGAGATGCATTCCGCAAGAGAAGAAGAGGAAAAATGTGGTCACGTGGTTTAAGAACAACATCCGCATGTGCTATTTTACGATGGAGTCGATAGCAGATATTCCGCAGAAATTAATTGATTTTTCGAATTTAGAAATTTATGGCTATTGCGAGAAATTAAAAAATGGAAAGAAAAAGGAGCAAAGAATTCAATATTAATTGCATCCCCTTTTCCGTGAAGTTTTAATTACTTACAACTTGACTTATTCATAAAAATCCACTAACAAAAAAAGACAACAGATAATATTTTTTAACTTAAGTTTCATTTCCCTACCCCTTATTCTAAATAGATGAAAATTTGTGGCTTGAAGACAAAGACTGTAAGCTCGGCAGTATATCATTTTTAAAATAAAAAATATTTAAATAATTTGTTAATTAAAGAGACATATAAATTAAAACTTATAGAAGTTATTACTGAACACTTGAATTTGATCATTAAATGTCTAACTGTGACCATAAATATGCCCATGTGACCTGCCGAAAATTCATCTCCATTGTATCGATTCGTCCAAAAAGCAGTGCTAATTGTTGACTGCCTAATTCGTTTTAGTCTCGATAGATGGAGACACTTACCTCAATATGGGGAAACGATGAGCTTTTTACCCCGCATTCCATAACTGCCTTTTCTCCTTCTTCTACGGTTGTGTTGGATCCTATGAGTAAGGGTATTCCATGATTCTTAGTCTCTGTAAGTTACAAATTAAATGTTCAAATGCAATAGCCATCAAAACAATATCTTTTTGAGAATAAACAAACATTTATTTTAAGCATAAAAGTTTCATATAGCGTTCTCCCCGAAAAAAAAAATTACGTAGGGCAATATTGCGAGTACTTTTCTATTCTGGAATTACACAGAACTAACTATACTTCCCTAAATAATTTCCATTCCCATAACACATGGATAATTGCGATTTAAGCAACAGGCATTGTTATACCATTTGTTTTAGACACAAGATTTTCTGAGAAATTCAACAGTGTTTCGTTACGTAATGATAGAAAACGCTTTAGAGAGAGAGAAGTATTATAAGTGTCATATGTTTAATAGCCTACGGGATACTAACAGTTACTTTTATTTGAATCATTTGTTTCTGTGAATTAAAAGAAGGAGGTTTCATTACTATTAATATTGGTATGTTTGAATGTCCTGGATTTTTTTTTATACACTAAAAACTTTAGTTAATTTGGTGAAGCATCTCAAAATCTAAAAGAAGTTATAAATAATCGTTACCTTCTTCTTTTATTGACATAATGTTCGTACATTTGCATTAGTACTGCCTAAACGTAAGTACTGCCTTTCATATTACATATCAAAAAAGTGGAGGAGGAGATTTTGATAAATCCCTTATACGCTAAGAAACATACGCTGAAAATATTGTACGCTTGATTCAGTACATTACAAATACTTACCATAAAAAAAGTTATCCCATCCCTCAAATTCAAGAAATTTCTCTAGTTTTATTTATTTCAAACGACAGCTCTTTTCGCTAGATCTGCCAATTGTTGTTACAATTATGCGCAAAAACATTGCTTACAAGTTCAAACCGGGTCATAAGGAGTCCATTGTCAAAATTTTTAAATACTTACTGATTCATTTAAAAATAAACTTATATAAATTATTTGATCACTTCTTTATACCATCACTTCTTTACACATCACTCCTTACAAGATTTAGATATTCAAATTAATAAAAGCTATACAAATAAGTAAATAATTAACATTTTTGATATGTGAGTTCCCCCCATCCTCCAACAATATTTCTAAGTAAACTGGTCAGCTTTGAAACTGCAACACCAAGAAGGAAATGTCGTAGAAATTTGAAATTTACAGGACAGACAGACATGCAAATGCAAATGACCAAATCCAGGGGAAAGTATATTAAATCGGCTCCTAAGGCAGCTTTGTAGGACTGGTCTACTACTTGCCGCATCAACAAATCAATACAACACTGACCTGTTAACGTTCCAGGAAGGAACCCTACCATAACATAGTCACCCTTCACTGTGATTCCGGAAGCAGATCTAGTATGGCGTTTTCTCGTGAAGGCTGGTTTGTGTCGTTGCCCACGTAATCTCCAGATCATGGCTGTTACCGAGATAGAAGGGAGACTCCTCTCTGAAAATGAAATCATCTATTGGCACCTGCATTTACACCATGATAGTCTATGAAAGTTCCAATGAAACACATGTCGCTGCTCTTCTAGCTTACTGCCCAAGATCGCGCAAGAGTCTTTTGATGATTTGTACAGAAGCTGAACCTCTTCAGTTTAGTATCCAAGTTATCTTTCACACGTTGTAGAGTAATGATCACTATGCGCCATTCTTCTAATCTGGCTATCTATCCGAGCAGAAATTAGCCTTTGACCACGGCTTGCCATCATCGTCGCTGTTTCCGCAACCACTAGGATGCATAACGGTACAACAGTGCTGACAATTTGGCAAGCACTCAATTATCTGCTGGACTGATAAACCAATATCTCTGAGTTTTAGGATTTTGCTCCACTCCGTTTGTAATTGGTGATGATAAGAAGCATGTCGACGAACTCAAGGAATCACACTCTCACACCACAAAATAAAATCTGGTTTCTGGTGTCTCATATAACAGGACGACATTGCATTGAATCAGATTATACCACGTAAGCAACCCATCTCCACATGTTGCTAGCTAGGGCTAATCGAGTAAGTTTGATCATTTGCGTGTCTTGACTACAATTATATCTTTTGCCAAAAAACTGCTAAACTTTACGGCTTTTCCTTCTTAGTGTTGGAATTTCAATGTGGAGCAGTGTGCATCAATGTAAAGTTATGAGCGAAAGGTATTTTAATGCTCATACAACGCTGCGAAGCTAACGCAAAGTATTGTTAATATTTAAAATCATTATAACATTCCATTTAAAAGAGCATTACAATATTAGTATTAAAAAGATTAAAGGCGAAATTGTAGATGCTGTTTAATATCTGAATGTGTACACTCAAAAGTCCGCTTAAAGTTTTGAAAGATTATAATATGAACTTCTCAAAATGCGCACTTTTCTTCTTAAGCAGACTAAACGAATTAGTGACGATAAATACCACTGCTAATATGTACATTACACTTACTTCAAAAAAGCATCTATATTGCTATAATATATCTCCAAACAGAAACAAAATATACTTATAAATTTCTTAACTCTAATTATTTAAAAGAAATCAATGTAATTGGAACAGCAGGGAGCAAAAATATTTGACCATATTTACATTTATATAACATTTTTGAGCTAATGTTGAATTTCGATTGATATTAAGCAGTATTTTCAAAATAAGTCAAGATAAAAAACCTCGTTTTCAACTCAAATATTTTATTACTAACACCGTGTGTTTTCCCTCTTTTCACGTAACTGATTCGCTGTCATCTGAAAACTACGTAAAATGAATTTAAAAAAATACTTGTGACACAGTGGTTAACGGTTTTGTAGTGTTCTAATATGTATAATTTTCGTACACAAAAGCTCACAATTATTTCAAAATTTAGCGATGAAGTGTCATTTATTTTTGGTCGCACATGTACGTTATGTAACCTTATATAAAATGAACACAGAAAGCTACCCATTGTTATTTACTTTGATATATTTATTACATTAAGAGATGAAATAAAACAGATGTTTTCTTTCTAATCCCGATGTTTAAAAACTCAGTGAACTCTAAGCTTTTATAAAGAAATCATATCACATTTACTCTTCTCTCAGATCCTTGGAGACCTAAAATTTTACTGAGTACAATGTATCTTTTAAAAGAAATCCTTCTACTATCTTTCTCTCTCGAACCTTCCAAATGTACTACCACATCAGTTGTAAATCCAAGGAACAGATGGAGGATTTCGGAATAAGATAAGCCTTTCATTCTGCCAGTAAAGATGGAAGTATATCTAAGTACACTTCGCCTGCTTTTATTTCTTCTACGCCTGGTTTTTGTTAACATTCTCTCCAAATGAAATGGATGGCTAAGAAATATTTTAAAATATTTATGTGAAATTTAAGTTTAATATCCAACTGATTACAAAAATTTATTAATTAATTTTTCATTGATATAACGCTGTATTATACAGTAAGGTAGAAATCCTATAAAATAAATCTAAGGGAAAAACTGCGTAAACATATTTTCATACATTTTAAAAACCAATAATACTTTTTCAAAATATTTAAGTTTTTTACTAAAAAAGTGCAATATAAAAAGTAAAACACAGGAAAACAAGAAAAGACAATCGAAAAATTACGAAAAACGCAAAACTTCTTCAGAAGGTATATTGTTATTTATATACAAACATTGAAAACATGAATGTACCAGCATAGCTGATAAAATCAATGAACTACGATGTATTTCATATTGATATTATGATGCAAGAGGAGTTCTTTGCATTGAATGAAGATGCTCAAGCACAAGCCTTATTCAAAACATATATACACGTTACGTTTTCGAATTTAAAAGTCATCCAAGAGAAATAGTTCAAAGTAAAAGTTATTACAAAACAAATTTTTCCTTCATCTTTCCTACCAAAAGCAAGCTTCAGTCAAGTGAAAAATCGGATGGAAGACAAAAAAGAAAAGGAAAAAAAAAAAAAAAAGTTGAATAGTACGGAAAGCAAAACCAAAAAGATTGCTAAGGAAAACACACAAATAAAAAAAATATATATGAAATAGGTTATTGAAGATACGCAGTTTTATGGCAAATATTAAAAATATTGCATCAATAGATCAAGCAGCCTTCCCGTTAATTAAAATCAAACTTTTGCGCAATTAGGATATGTCGTAAGGTAGTTCACCCACCTTCCTAGCGTGCCTTCGTGGTATAGTGGTTCTGCACGCTAGGCCGGTATTCCAGAGGTCCGTGGTTCGATTCCCGGCGAAGGAGTTTGCTAATTTTTCATCTTATCTTCTTCCAAAAAATTACCTAATGTCTCTACAGTGGCGCCCGAACTAAAAGGGTTGTGGATGATGACTCTCCACACCCATGATTTGGCGATTGAATCCCCTAAATACCCCAGTCGCCCTTTAAAAGGGGGAGTATGTAAGGTATTTCTCCAACCTTCCTAGCGTGCCTTCGTGGTGTAGTGGTTCTGGACGCTGGGTCGGTATTTGAGAGGTTCGTGGTTCGATTCCCGGCGAAGGCGTTCGCTAATTTTTCATTTTGCCTGCTTCCAAAAAATTACCTAATGTCTCTACAATGTGATTCTGAAATTTGTTCATACTTTAAAATTAAAAATAATAACAGTAAAAAGAAAACCTCAAAAGTGTTCAGATTTCATACTACGCCTAAAAGGGCGTTTTTTTTTAATGTTTTATGTGTTACCTTTACTTATTAAATATCCAACCGGTACAGTGGTTAGCGTCGCTGACTGCCGTGCCGAAACGCCTGGGTTCGAATCCCGGAGAAAGCATGGGTGTTTGTAAATGTATAGTTTCTGTGCATCATGGCGGCGCTCTAAATATTCGGTGAGCCAAAACCTCGCTGGTGTGGTTTGGTGGAATGGGAGAGGGGTGGGAGACCGTCGGACCCTCCCCCCCGGGGTGCTTTCCTTAAAAATTGGGGGGGGGCGGAAATGGGCTAAATCGCACTGTCACCTGTAAGGTGTTCAAGACTGTTGCCAACGACAAGCGTATCTTGCGCTTCTGCCACGAGGAATTTCGTGGGCTTGAGCTGATGTAATATCATGT